TATTATTTGGTCTCAACTAAGAATGGCAATGCTTTGCAGTGTTGTGTGCTTCACAAATAAATATTAGGTTTTGCAAAACACTGGCTTATCTATGCCAAACATACCTCAACCAAAGCAACATAGCTGTCACAATCTGACTGCAATGTCACTAATTACTGGACCACTATTTCAGGGACCATAATGGAAGATGGTCAAAAACATGCAAAATGCTAGTTCAGGAGAGCTTACTTGAGCTTTAAGCCTTCAAACATATGGTGTTTAGTGAGTGCTCAATATTTCTCAGCTTAGATATTTATTCATTCATTCAAAAACTGTGTTTATGTGTTGAGTCATCACTGAGAAATAAACAAATCAATAAGGAAAACTCACAAAATGTGATAGACCAAAGAAGAAATTGAAAGGCCTAAAAAAATTATGTAGAAAGTGTCTTATAAAGAACAGTAAAGCTGACAGCAAAAAGTTCTTAGAAGTCACTCAAAATCAGGAAGCCAACTAGAACAGTGATAGGATCACTTGGTGAAAAGGTGTGGAAGGGGCAGTCATGGATAAATCCATGGCAGAGGAAATCAGTGAGATCTTTGTGCCAGCCCTCACTGCTGAAAATCTGCGGGAGAGAGCTCAGAAAAGCTGGATGAGTTGGAAAAAAACATCTGGGAAGTGTCAGGCCAATTAAATATGTTATGTGCTTTCACTCCACTGTGACCAGATGGCATTCATCCCTCAGTTCTCAAGGAACAAAAACCTGAAATTATGTTAAATGGCAGGTTAAGGTGCATCAACAAAAGTTAGAAAAAAATGCTGTGCCAGAATGCAAGCTCCATCTAAAAAAAAAATGGATCTCAAGGGGATCCTCTCAGGGATCACAGACCAGTTAGTCAGAATTCCATCCCTGCAAAGACGGCAGGACTTAAAATAGTAATAGAGCTTAAAAAAAAAAAAAAAAATCATGTCGCAAGTCTGTCATAAGCCAATAATAAAGAGCACTACCATTTTACCATCTACAACGCCATTATATTTATGGACTTGCCACAGGCACTACATTTACGGACAAAAAAGTTAAACATTAAGACAGAATGAAACAAAACTGCCTGACACAATCTGTCAGTTTTGTGTGTCAGTGTTAACAGACTCCAGTAAAACTTCATGTACACAAATTAGAGATTAAAAATGTACATATGATTTCTAGTGAGTTAAATTCACAATTTATGAATGCAACAGGATATTGTTATTAAACACAAACCAACATGCTATCATCTAATGAGCCTTTGATTGCCAATGAGAGATTACTTCATGCATACAGACAACATCTAGCTGCACTACAGTACCACGTGATAAAGCCATGAGACCTCATACAACACTGGTAATACACCTGGTAGTCCATAAGATCTGCATTTCTCCCTCTTCCTGTATGCAGCCTTCTTGTACAGTATTTATTTCCATTTCAAATGAAGTCTTTATATTCAAGATCCAACACTCAGAATATTACCCAAAGCTGTAGCACAAGGACCACAGCTAGGAGTTCTGTTTCTCTGGCTTAATATAACTGTATCTATAATTAAGGACAACCTTATGCAAATAAGCAACAGAACTGCCTTGGGAGCCAGGTCAAGCCTGCAGAATGAAATCCTGTAAAATAAATGCAAATTCCTACATATTCAGTCCCAAGTTCAAAACACTCTTCCTTTGACCTTACTTTCATTAATTAATTTAAAAAAAAAAATATAAACACGTCAGGATGTAACAATTTAAAACTCTTCCATATGCTGTTTTTTCCCTATGGTAACAGAGATGAGAGAGAATAAGACACACATGACATATTTGTCACAGCCACTTAATGCACTTAAAACCTACAGATGCCATTGCAGTGAGGGTAGTAGAGAGACCCTAAATGGGTCCTGCGAAGGAAGATGTGAATAGAAAGAAATTATTCCTGTCATTGTTAGAGCATTAAGAGAAACAGCAGCGAACTAAAATACGTAGCAGCTGTGATACAAACAGAGAAAACAAAAACAAAACCAGAAAAAAAAAATATAGAGAGCAAATTTATGTGAGGTGAAAGCAGACCTAATTCTGCCTTTTACAGAGAGATTGACAGAGGCTTCCCTAAGCAGCAAGCAACACAGAAAGGAAGAAGGTTAAGTGCACAGAGCACAGGTTCACTGCACAAATGCACCCTTTCACATAGTGACTCAAAAGCCAGTTATATCAGGCTACTTAACTCTGTGGAACTGAACGCCCAGCTTTTTCAACAACTTTAGGCTGCAACAAAAGCATCACTAAGGAGAAACTGAGTTTAGCGTTTCAACAAATTGCTGGTTGCAATGCACAGAAGGACAGGAATCAAATTAATTTTCTCCAATGAAAATAACAGGTAAGGGAATAAAATAACAACCTAAGAATTTTCTGCTAACAGCAACTTTCCTCATCTGCTATTAATTGCAAAATTTCCATTCCCCTCTGCAACTTAGCAGTTAGAACTGCTGTTTGATGCTCCAAGAAAAAGCTTGCATCTCAGCAAAGGTCAGTAAAACACTCCTCTGCAAAACCACAGCAACACCTCAGCATCAGATTATTAGTATGGGGACAGGAATTTAACATATTAATTAACCTTAGGGTAATTAAACCCTTTCACTCCTTTCTAGAGTAAATAATCCCCGGGATATATCTATTCTGGTCACTCATCAGATCATCAGATTAGAATAAATGAGGAAATAAGCTCTTAAGAGCAAAAATCATGCAGCAAATTTCCTGCTCAGCTGTACCGTTTTTCTTCCCACTCCTCAAGGCTGGGAAGTAGTGAGCAGTGAATCAGAGTAGCAGAGGGGAGACAGCCTTGATGCTGTGCAAGCAAGATTCAGCAGCAGCCAAAACACCGGTGCGTTATCAACACTTGTAGGCACAAATGCAAAGCCATAGGGGCTCCTATGGGGACAGTTCACCCCATCCCTGACAGGCCCAGTACAGACCTAAACTCCAAGGGTAATGATTCCTCTCATAGCAATGCTTTCCACAGCCACTCCATTTCGGGAAATTTTGTTCTCTTCTTCTGTCTGGCATTATTCTTACAGACCTTTATCTGTGGTTATATTTGGCTGTAGAGTTCCTTTTATGTGTTCCTCAGGATAACAACTAATATAGCTCAGACGCCATAAACTGTAACTATTTATGTTTTATTATTGTAACAAATAAAATTCAAAACTGTCTTGGGTACAAAACTAAAGCAGTACTTTACACCCAAATCCCTTTGGTTTTCCTTAAAGCAAAGTAATACCTTCATCAGAAATAGAAATTATCAGGATGCATTCCTTTTGGACACGAAGAGGACAAATTGAAAACGGGGAGGTTTAGATTAGATGTCAGGAAGAAGTTCTTCTCAGAGAGGGTGGTGAGACCCTGGAACAGGTTGCCCAGAGAAGCTGTGGATGCCCCATCCCTGGAAGTGTTCAAGGCCAAGCTGGATGTGGCTTTGAGCAACCTGGTCTAGTGGAAGGTGTCCCTGCCCATGGCAGGGGGCTGGAACTAGATGGTCTTTAAGGTCCCTTCCAACCCTAACCATTCTATGATTCTATGACAAAAGAAGTTAATGAGAATTTCTGACAATTTATAATTCTGTTCTGATGTGCAGCTATTAACTGTCAGTACTTCACATCACAGTACCAAAAACCAAAATCCAACCAAAAAAAACCCCAAAACCAAGCCTTCATACAAAAGGCCAAATCACTTCTTCAAAATGTCTTTTTTTGAGTAACTAGCAAGTCCTAGAAGTCTGTCTTTGCCAGTGAAAGAAGAACTCTCCCCGGCCTACTCCCCATTATCCTTATAACACATCTGTCCTTTTCGTTCTGAGAACATTTGGCCCGTTATGCCAAGAGGTACTTGTGTACTCCTTTGAATAATTTATACAATGTGATTTTAAAGTAAACATAGGAAGTATAGTTTTCTCCATGCTTGTATACAGCTTCTTAGAAACTCAACAAGAGCTTTTAGATGGAAAATGGAAGAGCAGAAAACACTGTGTTGGCCAGCAGTCCTCACCTGGCTACGTATCCTGGGGCAGAGGCTGTAGCTAGGGGAATGTGGAATGTTTCTGTTGATGATTTCTTTTGCCAGTAATGCTGTTCTACTTTTAGTAAGGAGCTGTCAAACGTAGAAAGGCCAATTCAGAAGGGAATTAGAGCAGCCTGGTTCAGTGGAAGATGTCCCTGCCCATGGCAGGGGGGTTGGAACTAGATTATCTTGAAGTTCCCTTCCAACCCAAACCGTTCGGTGATTCTACGATCCTATGGACTGAAGAATCACACCTATTGTGACTCAGATGCTGTTAAACAGAAGCACATGCTCTATGAACTTGAGGATCGACCTTCTACATGTGGCTGAAGGGCCAGATTTAGAACTTTACTGAATACGTAATGGGGGAAAAAAAGATTGTTTATACACCCTCACCCACAAAAATACAATCTTACAATACCTTGTAAGAATAATGCACAGTTTTGAATTATACAGTTAAAGGACCTAGGGATACAGTTCTGTTTTGAGAAAGTCAGAAGATAAACTAGTTTAGTTTATAAATAATTTAGTTTATAAGCTTAAAATACAAGCCAACACACTTCAAGGAAGGCTAAGGAAACTTTCTGAATAGGACCATTGTTGTTTAAATGGACACCTGACTCTTCCTAGGAAGTACCATATTGTACCAGTACCACAAGATGACAGCACACGCTATGCTCATTATTGCTCAGCGTTTATAAGCTACTTTGAAGACTGATAGTGCTATTACCTATAAATGACACTTGATACTGTGCTTCAAAAACTCTTCCACAAATTGTGAAGTACTTGTCTGTTTACAGCACTGCAGAAGAGTAATTATGCGTAACTTAACACGCTGCTCACAGTGTAAGTCAGATCAGCTCCTTAACAGGCTTAACTCATGTACTGGCTTTTTAGAATAGCTTTAATGCTGCACATTAATGAATATGGTTTTAAAAACAAAGAGTACTAACCCTGTAGAGAGGGTGGCATTTGTCCTTGAAACATGGTGCCAAACGAGCATAGATCTGCAGGCTATAGTAATAACTTGCCAGCTGGAGAGATAACGCAGAATGTAATTGCTTTTCAAAGCATTTGTTGGCATCTACCACCTAGGAGAAAGAGAGAATTAATTTAGATGAAAGAATTAGCAAGCATACAACATTAAGCGCACAAACTTCCTAAAAAGCTACTTGCTGTGATTTAGAAATAGCTCTAACTCTGTTTTTCTGGCACAGAAGTAAATCAGTAACCTCTACACACACTCAAAGATATTCTACATTATGATGGCTTTCCCTCCTTGCAAAAACACCTAACCACAACAATTTTAAAACTACAGCTTTGCTGCTTCTGTAGCACAGAGTTATTACACATACTTCTGAGCTACAATAGAACTGTCAGTCAGGTGGCTCAACTACTATTTTAAGTAAGAAATTGTTTCTTTTCACCAGTGTCACGCTCATAAGCCAGTCCAATGGCATTTATTCTGCTTCCTTTAAATGCATCAACCTAATCTATAAAAGTGTTTATTTAAATGAATTCAAAGACTTAGATTTTAATACCCTAAGGAAATTACATTTTCTTAGGGAATTCTGAAATGCTATCAATAGTCTTTCCTGGCAAAAGCATTCAAACAAGAATCAGTATCAACATACCTGCGGCAATGCAAGTAGATAGGCAAGAGACAAGGCCATATCATTTGGTAAAGCATCACTTGCCAGTTGTAGCAGAACTGCAATATACAGGGAGCAGAAATAAAGCTTTGATTAGTGACCCATCAAGCCCTGACAGTTAGCAAATGAAATGTCTAATAAAATATGGTTACACTGAAAACGTTAGCTTGAAGCACTCTATACATACTTAATTAAACACTTATCAGTGCAATCCAGAAACAGATAATATGTAATTAAACTGCAGCACAGCTTTACCTTGACTTCCAGGGAAAGCATTTGATGCATTAACCAAACAAGAATGAGGCTATGCAGTAACAGATGCTCAACAAAGCCACTAAAATATCACCTGTACTGACTCACGACAAGTAAATCTTTTGCTTGTAAAGACAAGGCAACAATGCAATGTTGTGAGTGTTCAAAGACACCAACCACAGGAACAGTACAAAATGTCTTCTCTTCAGGCCTGAGCTCTAATTCACTTAATTCAAACCATATTGAAAACTTCTTGCTTAAAAAAAGAAAAAAAAAAAAAAAAAAAGCTGCAAGTCTCTCATGAATTTTAACTCAGATCCGTGAAACACCAGAAGCAGGTCCTGCCATTTACTGCCAACAGAAATATCTGCACAACGCATCGTCAAAATTAATGCAAGAAAGAATAGTTTTTCTGATTATAAAAGAGATACACTTCTGGCAAAACTGACACAAAAAATTACCTGCTTTTCCTACATTATAGACAGCAAAGTTGTCTTTTTGTTTAAAAAACCCACTGTATTTTATTTGATCTCTTATTTGCGTAATGTAAAGAGACACAATGTGAGCACCCAAGATTTTTTAATTAGTAAAAGGATTTCCCATTCATGCAGTAATATCCTTTTGCACTGAAGTCAAACATCACTGCGGTTGCTACGAAAGTTCCAACAAACAACTACAGAATACCGATTCTTGTGATACTGAATATTTAGGTTTGGGGGTAGAGACTATAAATTATTAGTTTCGGGGACAATGTTGAAAACGTTATGAAACCTGGACCAGAAAATGCATAATGACTTAGGAGTATACCAGGAATAATACATTATAGTTTCCTTTTTCTATAGACAATGATAATGGTATTATTCACAGAGAGGGTGGTGAAGCACTGGAACAGGTTGCCCAGAGAAGCTGTGGATGCCCCATCCCTGGAAGTGTTCAAGGCCAGGCTGGACGAGGCTTTAACAACCTGGTCTAGTGGAAGGTGTCCCTGCCCATGGCAGGGGGGTTGGAACTAGATGATCTTCAAGGTCCCTTCCAACCCAAACCATTCTATGATTCTATGATTATTCCCATCAGTAGATGCCATCTTCCATCAATTTACTTCTTTGTTTATTTTAAGGAAGTCCCAAATTCCTATATTCCCGCATTACACAAACTACCCTTGACTGAGAGCACACTGGCAAGAAACCTGTTAACTTCACACACAGCCCCCCAGTGCATTCTTTGTTCCCAGTGAATTCTTCATTTGTTCCAAAGAATGACTTATATAAGGCTTGAATGACTAATTACAATTTCAGATTATCATTAATTTGCCATTAGCCTGAAGCGGATTTACATGCTGGCCCTCAGCCAGATTCAAAACCCAAATTTCCATGTGACAAGTCATCACAGAAGCTGTCTACCTGGCAAGAAGTCAGTTACTGCAAATACGAGCCTGTCCAACAGCACTCTATGCTTCAAATAGCTTTTACCAATTGTTTCTTCTGCTGACAGCTTGTTTCTGCTACATTCAAAACAACCCTGTCCAAGCAAAGATAACAGAACTCTAGAAATACCCAATATTAAAATCTTGGTGAACTAGTTTGCAAAACTGGCATTACCTAGTCTGAGAACAAGCAAAGTTACTTTATATATCCTTACAACCACCTCCAGTTAAACAGAAAAAAAACCTGAGGGGAGAGAAAGAAGAATTTGGGCTCCATCCTCTTTGTTGGAAGATTAATGATTGCAAAGTCACCAGAATACATAATAAATTCTGTGTTCTCTTCCTTCTTGACACCCCCAACATGACAACTGCCACATTCGCAAAATTTATCTTCACCCTTCAGACAACAATCATGACAAAGAACATAACACCATTACAAGGCCAGAAAACACTGATTTTATTCATACTCTTGCATGAAGCTCAACACAAAAGCACGTCATTTGCCAGAATGCACTTCAGAAGAAAGACCTGTTTCCATTGTCATCCCTTCTGAGTAAGGGATCCCATCTGATGAGAATGGAAGGGACCCCTTCTATCCCCTGTACTGATTCAATAAGTATAAATTTTCCATGTGATTGTGTGCAGGTATGTCTTCATGTATCCATATATAGATACTTACATTAAATATACACAAACACATATATATACAGAAGGACTAATTTCATACAGTTTTCTGTCTCCCAGTGAAGCTCCATGGAATTCTCTAACATCTAACCAGGCTGAGTTCAAATTGCAGGCTATGGACATTAGCAGGATGCCATTCTGTCCTCTCAGATGTCTTCACAAAATTTACAGGAACTTAGTATCATTTCAGACCACCGCCAAATTTGAAATTTGCCAAAGAGATTAAAGATTACAGGGTTGGCAAACCAGGCAGGAGAGGCAGGACAAGCAAAGAGCCAATGCTGCTATCCCACAAGCAGTATTTCCTTAGGAATACTCACCAAAAAAAAAAAAAAAAATCTGATTTTATGAATAATTTTTATTTCCTGTGCAATTTTTTATGCCACAAGCCTACTTGGAAGGCAAAGTGTAAGAAAATTCTTAATCTGAAAAAAATACAAAGACTGCTTCCAGTCTTAAATTGTTCATTTAGCATCTGGTAAAATCTCACTAAACTTAATATTATATATTGCAATTAAACAGTGATAACTGCAGGTAATTACAAAATCAAAAGTGGAAAACACTAAGCTATTGTTTTGTTCTAAGACTCCCAAGGATTGATAGTTATGACCAACTTTCCTGGGTTTAATTCGAGTTTAGTACTCAATCCCATTACAAGAAAATGCAGCCAATAAGTTCCCATTCAGATCTCATCTTCAACCTCCCCATCAAATCCTTAAGGGCTATGGAGAAAGAAACTGCAGTTAAAGAGAGATGCACAACACTGCCTTGGTAACACTAAGACTGGATGCGCTACAACGGCACAATTGAGGAAAACGAGTGTTCTACTGGACCCAAAGAGATGGGCGTCAGCACTATGCTCAAAAATGCTCAGTGCACCACCTACCTCCAGACAGAAAGGAGAAGGATGATCAAAGCCCAGGGCCTGTGACCCTATCAAATCCAAAAAGGAAGCAGCAATCATTATCTTGAGTTTTATCATGCACACTGGCTCTGGGGTAAGCATCTACCCATTTCCTTATACCTAGGAGCATGATACTACTACAGTAAAAGACAGAGTTTGATGCATACTTCAACATCTCCTAAACCAACATGCAAAGTACAACTAGGGTTTCCTTGCTAAACTGCACCTTCTTACAGGTTTGTCAGCTTTTTATTGGGACTGAAACCTGATGCTGTAGCTGTCACAGAAGACAGCTGGAAGGAAAAAAATGGAATACAAACTTGTCAGCAAAATTAAATTTTGTCTGATCTGTCTGTTCGGTACTAGTACAGTAGCTAATAAGTTACACTGAGCATTCAAGTTTCATATGGCAAAAGTTTTCCAAAACCTTAGAGAAATCCTGGAAATATGGGAAGAACACAGAATAATAAATGAGGTTCATATCTGCATGATTTTTTTTGTTTTAAATTTTGGTGGTGTGCTATTAATATGTGCATTTTCAAACTTCACCATCCTTGAAGTGTTAAATCACAATAAGGACTTTCACAGGAAACGACAAAGAGAAATGACAAAGGAAAGCGTTAAGAAAGGCGAAGAGGTGGGATCCATTATCATTAATCCAAGGCTAAATGCATCACAATTAGCAAATTGCAAATCCATTCATTTACAGAAAGCTACAGTACACTTATGCATACTTAAAATAAAGGTTGTCTACTGACTACTTAAAGGTCTCATACAGCAGGACTGCTCAGTACAGAATAAACGTAGCTCAGTTTTCCAAAGGAAAACACAGAACTCTCAGATCCATAGCACAGTTGGAGTGACTCATAAGTGAAATTCAGATTGACTGTACAACAAAAGTGGTGGAAGAAAACAGACATGGAATGGTGAAAACCGTAAAACACTTAAGAGCAGGAAGGTAGAGTCTCAAAATCCAAAGTTGGAACCTCAAATTTCATTTCTTGTTCAAGCAAAATTCCCCAAAACTGAAACTTTCATCCCAAAGGCAGCCATTGAATTGTAAACAACCAGTTCCAATTTCTCATTGGAGTAGGATGTATCCTGGGTTGGGGAAATCATAAGCAC